TAGGTGCGGACATAAACACACAAAATCTGGTCTATTACTCCCCCATAATATCCTCCGCTACGCTCCGGATAATTAATATTCTAATTCGTCTTTATTTATATCGAAAGTTCACTATAACGAAAATGACCTATTTAAATTGTACAAAAGGGCACTAGTGGTGCCCCACTAACACTTGTAACTGATAAATAAAAAAATGGTAATCTATTTTTTTCTCGCATATAATGTCGAGATTACATAATGCCTGATATATTAAAAATATAGTCTATTCGTGAATTTTATGTATCAAATACATCGTGATCTCAACGGTTTTTGCCATACTAAGCCACTTCATCTATTTCTCTCTTTTTGCATTACGGTTAATATTTATTTTCAAAAGTTGGACACTTCCAATTATGTTTCTTTTACTACTTTACAAAAAACCTAATATGATAAAAAAACCTTTGGAATAAAAATATAAGTACAATCAGACCTCTTTAAGTGTGCACACCCTTGGGACCACACTTTATAATGTGCATATAGAGAATAATAAGAAAAAGTGCATTTATGGAGGTCATGTATATATTTGGGCTGGCACTTGAGCATGCATTTAGAGAGGGTATGCACTTGTAGAGGATGCACTTAGAGAGGTCTGACTGTATATATAATAAAATAAGGATAATAAATTTAAATAGATAGATATTTATTACAAAAGTTTTTAATATAGCAAAAACTTAACTGTTGATATACTTCTGCATCCACAATCTTATTTTGGTTTTTGTCTAATTATGCTTATTGAGAAATATTTCTCATTTAATTTCATTTTTATATAGAAAAACATGGAACAAGTAAATTCCATATGAAAAAAATTTATTAAGAAAAGAAAACTGCTACAGCTACCATTTCCAGCAATAATACACAAATATTATCGTCAACACCACACCAAATTTAAATAATAATTTTGAAACGAATATAAAAGAACCACCACCACTAGCATCAACAACGACAATAATAATACCATCATCATCAGACGAAGAGGTAAAATTATTATGTTGTGCAAAATACTTTAGATGCAGTATCATCAAAATGGAATTTCTAATATTGTTTCCGAAAATTACCTTTTTTATAGTCATATGGACGAAAATTTTTGATGAGAATATTGTGATTATTAAAATACAACAGGATGAAACCCGCGCTGTGAATTAGTAAAATTCGCTACGTAAATCACATGAGGGTGAAATTCGCTTCTGCATAATAAAAAACATAGCTAAACGCGGATTTCACCCATTTTACTAATTTACAACGCGGGTTTCACCCAATCCTATTAAACTTAAGTGATGTAATATAATATATCGATATTTATCACTGTTATATTTATTAAACTAAAAAAAAATCGGTAATGATTTATAAGTACGTATTATGCAGTTTCATAAACGGTTTCATAAGCTTTTCATAAGTAATTTGTAGCTAAGAAAAGCAATTGACAAATTAAATGCAATTGTACAGTTCAGTTTTACCAAATCAAAAATTTCGCTCATATTGTTAGGACATGATTGAGTTGCACGTGGTACGATGTGCAGGGGCAAACGTGTATTGGCAGGGAGGTCGTTTGTAAAAGAGAGGTTAGTGAAGGCGCAAGAAATCTCGTAGTAAACGTAAAGCAGGTGCATAAACTGTAGAATGAAACCTTATTTCGAGTATGCCTATGGGAGTTATTTTGAATTGCAGATAGATTTTTCTAATCGTGAAGGGCCTTCACGACTACATATAAGCGTGATAATGTGCAAGTTTGGTTTATTGTAATAGTTCATTCTTCACGATTGACTAAAATTTGTTTGCAAATATAACCGTGAAGATTGTTCACGATTGTCATGTGCAAATATTTTATTATGGAAGTTAAAAACGCATAAGTAGAATTATTATGAAGTATGCGTTATTTCGGATCGAATGCAGAGGAGGACACTATTTTTCTGCGCCAAACATCCAATCAAAATCCAGAAGCTGTCTACTAGTGATGTGAGTTGGTTGTACCAATAGGTAGATACCGTTAGGTTAATAATATGCAAAGGTAGCTACCAATAAGTTACCTTAATCATACGTCTAGTACCTACTGGTACCGGTAACTAACATCTACCGGTAGGAAGCATAGCTGTTTGGAAGAATTACAGGTTTTAATTTGACAGCACTTAATTACGCTAGCAATATGATAAATTTTGTAATAGGAATTATTAAATTTATCAAATTATCACAAGATTAAAATTAGTATTTGCTTAGATATTAAGATCAAAAATAAAGGATTTAGAAGGTTTAGGTGAATAGTAGTTGTCTTTGATCCGTAAAGCTAAATAAGCATAAGCTTTAAGAATGGGTAGAGATGTTGATTGCAATAAGAATATTTCTGTTATATAAACAGTTCGTTATATGATCAATATACAAACCAATGCTGATAAGTAGAAAGATCAACTATATTGAAGCATATTATCAACCAAATAGCCATAAATTTGACGAATTATTGCCTTACTGTACTGTTTGCTGCATAAAATTCTATAAATGTTTGTCTATTCATATCCTCAAAGAAATGTTTTCGCTTTATCTCCATTATCATAATTAATGTTTCTTTCATATAATAAGTAAAATCTGAACCAGAAATGTAAGCTAAACGGTCAGAAAAGTTGTCATTTTTTTCTCATAAGTTAATTCAATACCATATTGATATCTGTGACCATCAAAATACTGCTTTCTTTGTTTATTAACTAGCAATATAGTAACTCTGAGAATTGAATTTTTTGATATTTTTACGGAATAGAGAGTGTTGGCTGTATAATGATTGAACCTATCTATAAATACATTGTAAAAAAATATTTATGTTATTAAACGGTTCAGTCTTTAATATCAAATTATCAAATCAGGTGGCGAAGCCGCATGTTTTTAGTTATAAAAAAGGATGATCAAAATAGTTTAAGAAAAAACAAAACATTTAAATATATTCCTAATAGTAATTTAATATTGAATAGATTTGATGGATATCAAATATACAGTAGGTAATACAGTGGTGTTACTTGATTAATGTTTCTAAAATAAAAAATATTAAATGTATCCAGATGTTGGTCAGATGTCGTTAGAGGTATCAATACAACCAATGTGACATGTGGACAAAGGTTGTATTAAAAAGATAAGTTTCAATGATAATCATGTAACTACTATCTGCATGTTAAGCCTTTTTGTCATAGATTAAAGGACTACAACACAAACGACAAGTGTCCACGTTCCTTCAACCAATCGTCGTTTTGCAATCTTTGGTTTTCCTTTAAGATAATAAACACCAGCTGAAGTTATTTTATAAAGCACAGCAAATTCTGGTACAAAACCAAACCACCTTTGTACTTTATCTTCAGTTGCCTCAAGTGAACTAAGAACTTCTATTTTAATGCCCTTATAATTTAGGGCTGAGAAGGTTTGTAGTAGGTGGTTTAGATTTTGTGTTCTTCGTTCCTTTTTTTTCTGTTTGTCACCATCATCATCATCCTCGTCTTCTGAAGGAAAATCGACACCAATTACAGGATAATTTCCAAAATAATCTTCTATTGTTTGGCTGTTTTCATTAATCCATTTTTGTTTACAATGAGTAATGATAATAACAATATTTCTATCACAGTCGCTGAATATCTCTTTAAATTCATTAAAGTTTTTACGATCATCATCAATAAATCTATCCTTAGCTTTAACGTAGCATATATAGTTGAATGATACAAAGGGTACTGCAAAGTGATTTCGAATCATTTTGATAGCTTTACTATGCTCAACATTTCCACGTTTGTTTTCTCCCAAGCCTACCGTATCGAAGATTCCAATTTTTTCATTAATGATAAAATCAATACTATCTGTTGTTCCTCTTGCACTATCACCAATCCCAAAAAAATTATCATCAGAAAGATCGCCATTAAGTAACATATTAGCAATAGTGGATTTTCCACTTCCGGTACGCCCCAAAAGGGCTACAGTTATTTTATCATTCATAATCTGTCAACTTACGCCTGGATCTTATTGGGATACTAATGATTGGGAACAAATTTCAGTAAATATCAGTTGTTTATATAAATAAAAACTATATATATAGTTATTAAGTCATTTAGCCTAAAAAATACGGAGTAAACCACCTTAAATCCGCAATCACTTTATAAAGAACAAGTAATTCATTGGAGATAAGCTAAATTTATTATTTAAACAGCAACTCATCTAAAATGCATATGAATACAGGATTAGCTACCATTAAGTACATATTGATCTTGGCATATTATTCCATACGAAAAAATCGAGAGTTCCAGATTTCCTACACTTTATTGAGGATTCTACTCCATAAGTCGCGTATTCACGTATACACGGTTACGTAAACTTGAGACCCGTGGGAAAGTATAAGTTAGAATTAGTGGCGTAGACGCTACAATCATAGCATTACCGCCATGAGAAATTAGAATGTAGATAAAGGGAATGTCTTCGCCCTTTGTTAAAGAACAATGCATGCACTCTGGAGTCGCTCCTAAAATAAAGAATACTAATAAATGCCTAATAATCATAAAATATGAGTTCCCTCTTTTATCATCAAGTTCCCACACCTTATCTGATGTCATACCGGAGTTAAACTTGATATGATTACCGAAAACCTTATTATGTCTCTATATAGAAAGATTAATGTTTTAGATTTTCTGCATCGTACAATAAATCCAGAATTCATTGAATATTTTCTCTATTGACTCTCTATTGAGGGTTGTATCACCAGCATAACTTCAGCAAGATAGAAGTTTGTTTTGATTGGATGATCATCAAAAACTTTGATTGGCCAAAATTAAAGGGTATTCCAAAGATTTGCGCCTCTGATACTTTTATAGTATTTCGTGAAACGATTGATTTTTTAATCGTATTATCTTGCTCACGTGAAGTTCGAAATATTTATTCAAAAGAAAATATCATTTTATTAGTAATTATTCTTTAAAAGTTAAAAAATACATAATGTTGTTATCTTACTATATGCTAGTATTGTCAGAATCGCTTCTAATAAAGTTGATAGAACACTTGATCTCACTTGATCTCAAACTTTTATATAAAAGCTAAACGTTTAAAAAACCATCTTACAAAATTTCAGGGGGCTTTAATTATAAACTTTCGATATTGTTACTTTAGATTAAAATTTTCTATTGTAAAATAATATAAAAACTCGTGTAACATTATTTGTCAATATAAAGCAAGTATCCAATCAAGGTCAACTTAATCCCACACCTGGTTTGCAGCACATAAAAAAATCATTTCACAATGATGGGTCATTTAACCGCCAATGTAGTTTGGATCGGGTACGTTTCTTCCTGTTTAAAAAAACCCATCATTTGGCCAAAGCTAAAACAAACCAAATTCAAATCTGGTCAAATGATTGCAAATTTGACCAAAACTATGACTGATGGGTTTTTCTATCAGATGATGCAGATCCACCGATATTACTCTATCCAGCTCCAATAAAGAATAAGTAACTCATTAGAGACAAGCTAAATTTGCCATTTTCATTAGCGATTTGTTAAGATGCACATGAATACACAGAATTAGCTACTTTGCTAAAATTTATCAATTTCGAGTTATGCAATTATTTGCCAATAATAAGCATAATATAGTACATTATAATCTTT